AACTAAAACAACTTAGCTCAAAACACTTCAGTACAACAACTCCAATAACCAGTAATACAGCAACAGCAACCAATTACCAAGTCCAAACTTATTACTACTCCTATACATCATGAGCCTCATCAGAAACAACCTGTTATTATCCCAATACTACTACTACCAATACTATTACAGTATAACAAAATCAAGATACTCAGCAAACATAACAAACACTATTAGAAAATACTCAGCAACAACTATCTACTAATTTGTCTAATACAGTAGACAATACACTACAACAATTACAACAAAATGAACCTAATACTACTTTAAACCAAAATACTGATCAGGCCAAACCAACATTCAATTAGTTAGCCAATTACCTAGTCTTACCAGAGATGGAAAAGAATGATAAACTTCAAACTGAACTTGCTCACCAAATCTTTAAGTTTTTTAAATTACATCTATATGACTTCTATCTGAATAAAATAATTAAAAAAGCAGCAGGAAACTGAAAAGCACTTAAAGCAAGTTTTTATCAAATTATCCGTAAAATAGCAAGAGAAAGACCCCAGTTTCTGGTAGATTTTATATATGAACTTAATTCTAATATCAACAAGCATTTACTATTCCATTCTCAGTCCTAAAAGAATACTCAAAACTTATTCTAGTTTTTATAACTATTCTCTTTACTAAACTCAATTACTCTGAAATCTTTGTATTACCAGCTACAGTTCCGCTTTACAAGACCCAAAACTGTTTACAATTCTGTATCAATCTCACTCATCTACACCTATATCTTTCTAACAATTATTAAACTATTAACTACACCAAGTTTGCAGAGGATATACACTTACAATCTAAATGCTTTAAAATTACTTCACATATTATTAGTGTTGACAAAAAAGACAAATATCTTAATATATTCACAAATAGCAAATTTAACATTCAACTTAACTTCAATCTTCATAAAACTCTCTTCTTAAAAAAATTTAATATACCATCCTTAAAAACTCTTTTGAATATTTCAATGAATGATTTAAACTCTTCTTCACTAAATACAAATGACAATTCAATAATCCTATTGATAAAACAAAAGTCTGTAACTCTTTCAAATATCAGTTTAGACAATATTTTATCTCACACCTTAAGAAATTTATCCCAGATACAATCCAATTTATGGAACCCTCTTCATTTCAAAAATGTTGAGATGAGTGTATCAAACATTCTAACTATCATATTCTTACCTGTACAGACACTCTGTGCAAATACTTAGAAAAAATTGAATACAAAGACAAAGGCAAAGTACCAACCACAGAACTTAAAATACAAAAGATAATTCTTCAGAAAACAAAATTTCAGCATAATTTTAACCAGCTATACAAAGACTACCTTGATAAGTCTTTTAATAAATGGCCAACCAAAGAACTCCAAATAGACAAATCTGTTTTCTTTAAAGACAATAAATATGAAGCTACATTTCTTAAACCTATTCCAACCAAAACATTAGATGAACTTGCATCTATTTCAGAAAAAGCTTACTATGAACTCAACTCTATTGTGACTAACAAAGGTAGACGTAGTCTCTTCTTCTACCTTTACTTGGATACATATCAAAAAAATACAATAGTAAATCTTAATATTGCGAACCTTGATAAAAAAGAAGCTATTGAAACTCTAATCTAATGATCTATTAGTACTGACTCCTTTGCAAGAATTATAATACAATATAATATTTATGATCAATGCCTTACTTACCTTCAGCTTGTCAGATTCTACTGTTATAGAACAGTTTATTATTTTATTAGTTTATTATTCCGATATTGTATTTTATTATTTATTTTATTATTAT